TATCACACTGGGGCTTCAGAAACCCAGTGTAAGGTTTTTTCTAAGTATTAGAAGTCAGAAAGTTTATGAAGAAAATATTTACATGTGCCTAGGCGGTATGAACCATGCCATGTGGGATATGTCGATACATACTATAGACCGCACACATGCACTAGCACAGGTGGTAACACACACAGACACACACACCACTCTTACTGTTTTATGCAAGCTCATTTCTTCTGTAAGCATCTGTAAGTGATAGTTTCCTGCAGGGTGAACAAAAAAAAAAAAAAAAAAAGAATGAAATGGGCCAGGTACCAGGGCTGACGCCTGTAATCCCAGGACTTTGAGAGCTGAGGTGGGTGGATCACCTGAGGTCGGCGAGTTCAAGACAGCCTGACATGGTGCAGAAACCCCGTCTTCTACTAAAATACAAAATTAGCTGGGCATGCGTGGCAATGCCAGTGTAATCCAGCCATTTGGAGGCTGAGGCAGGAGAATCGCTTGAACCCGAGAGGCGGAGGTTGTGGTGAGCCGAGATCGTGTCATTGCACTCAGCCTAAGGACAACAAGAAGCCAAAATTCCGTCTCAAAAAACAGTATATGAAACGAACAGAATAGCTAATATGCTTGAAAAAAGCTGGGAGGCTATTTATCACAACTGCAATTTGGGTTAGGAGTAAGAGGTAAGTACATAAAAATTAAGCAAATGTAAAGAACAAGGTAACCATTAATTCTAGCAGGAGGAAAAATCTGCAGTAAAGGAAAAAATAATTATAACATACTGACAGAACTAGGAGATCAGCCAAGGGTCCGCGTCCAGCGAAACTCACCTTCCAAGCCCAAAAAGGCTGAAGGCTGAAAGACGAGACTTCCTGTCCCAGATGAAACTGGTGATGCAGAGGGTTAGAACTGCCCTGCTTGCCTTTCTTGACTGATTCTTTCTGAATAGTGCCACAAGTCGCACTTGGGAGAATGTGGGTGGGTCACGGGAAGTTCACACTTGTGCAGCCTCAGGGAGGGACCCTGGGCCTCCTTCAGCTGGTGTGTGTGTGTGTGTGTTGGTGGTGTGTGGTGTGTGTTGGGGCTTGGTAATCAATTCTGTGAGGTGGAGCTCTTCAGGCTGGTGGTGTGTGGTGTGTGTGTGTGTGGTCTGTGGTGTTTTGAGAATGGGGTGGTGGTCACGGACACAGTTCACCCCACCCTTGTGCAGCAGGGAGGACCTGGGCTTCTTGCTCTTCAGCGGGTGTGTGTGTGTGTGTGTGTGTGTGTGTGTGTGTGTGTGTGTGTGTGTGTGTGTGTTGGGGCTTGGTAATCAATCTGTGAGGTGGGAGCCTGTTAGCAAGACCTCTTCTTTTTTTGCTGAGAGCTTTCTTTTAATAAATTCTGCTCTCCTCACCTTTCAGTATGTCTGCATGCCTAATCTTTCCTGGCTGTGTGACAAGAACCTGCTTTTACCTAAACTAAGGAGCAAAAACTTCTGCATCAGTACTACATGGTTTAGGTACTAATGGAGCTTACATATTGATAAAAATATAAGCAATTAATAGTAACCTAATCAAAATCACAGTAATTATAATGGGAACATGAGAAGAATGTAAGTATGGTGGAAGCAGGGAAAAGGGAAGTAAACTGTCACTCTCCACAGTAAGAAGTCAATAAACACAGCCTAAAAACTAAAAATTAAAGGAAATATTCAGAGTAGTAGAGATTAAAAACCAAATAACCAGTAAAGGAATAAAAAGTAGTTGCCTCCAAAAGTGGAAAATTAGGCATGAGGAGAGCAGGGAAGAGAACAGCAACCATCATTTTTCTTTAACTTGTCCAAGAGAATTTTGTCTACTTATACTATTTATATGTTTGATTTGATTAAAAAATTAACAACCCTTAAAATCTTGTATGAATAATGAAAACAGAAGAATTTAATAACAAAGAATAAAATAAGTACAAAATAACAACAACAACAAAAAACCCTTCAAAATAAATAAGCCATACCTCTGCAGTAAATCTACTTGACACTGGTGTAATAAATCCAACTTTACCATCATTAAATACAACAGCAAACCCATCAAGTGTGGCACAGTATTCCATGTCTCTGATATGTACATCTGTGAAGCCCAGGAATGAACCTACTGATGAAAAACATAAGCACATGAAATAGGATTAAGAATATAATAAATTACTCTCTCACCTTTTGCCAGAAAAACCTGTAAGTTTAAAAGGGTAAAAATAATGACCTAACAACCCTAAACAATTAAACTGTCCTTTCCTACTAAATGCCTCTCTCACCCCGCCTCTCATACTCTCCCTACTGCTCTCCTAGCATAAGTAATTTCAAAGAAGTGTTCATCCACAGAAGATATCTAACTAGATATCAAACATAAAACAACTGGTTCAACCTCATATAGAAAGTATAGCTACCTCTAGATGACTGCAGGTCTACTGAAAAGGGTACTGTGCAAAGATTAATGGCTTTCCTTCCATTTGTCATTCCTTCCCAGTGAATAAGATGAAGAAGTCCATCAGAAGTAGCAACCAGGAGATCTTCCAACACAGACTGCAAACTGTAGGTAGAATCAATTAATTTTTAAGAGAGCATACTGGGAAAGCAATGTGTATGAATATAAAAACTGCTTTAGCGAATACTCATGCAAAAATGATCATGAAACCATTTACAAAACATCTCCATTTATCTGCAACTTCTGGGAAAGCAATGTGTATGAATATAAAAACTGCTTTAGAGAATACTCATGCAGAAATGATCATGAAACCATTTACAAAACATCTCCATTTATCTGAAACTTTATCTATGTATATTTCAATCTAGAATCAGAAATTCTGGAAGAAATGAAAGACTATGGGCAGCCACAGTCACAAACTTGGTAACTGATAAAACTAGTTAAAAACTAGAAATATTGAAACAGCAAATTAGAAGATGGAAACAGAAGTGATAGCAGACAAGAAAGAAAAACAGGTAGAGAAACCATAAAATGAATAAGACCTAACTAATAACAGTATGACAATCGGGAGCCATTAAGTGTAGAGGTAACAATTCTCCGGTACTTGTCCAATAAAACTTTGAATAATGATGGAAATGTTTTGTATCTGTAAACTATCTAGCTATCTGTAAACAGTAGCTATGAGCTGTATGTGGTGACTATACACTTGAAATATGGCTAGTGCAACAAAGTAACTGAAATTTTACTTACTTTTCATTAACGTAAATTTAAATAAATTAATGTGTGACTAGTGGCTACCATATTGGAGTATAGTTCCAGGCCAATATATTTCTCAGCATTCCTTCTGCAAACATTTACTGAGCCTATCCTCAGTGACAGGTGCTATACTCTGTGTTGGATATTCGAGGGTGAATAAAATATTCTCTGTCTTCAGAGGACTTCTCAGGCAAGAAGTGAAAAATAGTTACACAGCATGATCTCAACACTTATCAATATTTGTGAAGATATTCAGCATTTACTTAAGGGGGAAATAGCCTGTTTTGCTCACCTCTGTATGCACAGTCCCAAGGGCAGTGTTAGTTAAATCTGTCACTAAATATTTGTGCAAAGAAGGCAAGAAGAGGGAAAGGGTTAGAAGAAAGAGGAACCCATGAATGAGCCTACAAAGATACTGGCACAAAGAAAAAGACAACTAGGGAAACCAGTAGAAACTGACACCAAGAAAGCCAAGAAGTAAGATGAATTTAAGAAAGAGTGTTCAAAGTATCAAATACTATATGAGGAAAAACAAAAAATGTTATGTATATATTATATACAACCTATTAAATACTATTAAATTCCCTTTCATACTTAAGGAAAGAGCATATTTCAGATATATTTTAATCCATAATGACAAAAAAAAAGTCTTTTAGTATTTTAATTCTTAAACTAAACCTTTAATTCTTTGGAAAGTTGACTTCAACTACTTATACTCCAAAGATTTCAGTTAATAAAGAATTTGCTGTTTTTTCCCCAACTATAAAAGTACTGAAAAAGATCAGAAACAGATGTTTCTTTACCCAGCTCTATTTCTTGAACTTCACAGCCATTTGTAATCAATTAAAATCCCCAGTTTATAGAAATTTCACTTTTTAAAGCATTATATATTAATTTCAAATTTATATTTCAGTGATAAAATCTATGTGTATCATTTGGTGGGTGGAGTATAAAAAGTTTATGTTTTAGATGTACTACTATATGCTATGAAAATATGTAATTCAAAATCTAAGCTGTTGGAAATCTGAATTACTTTTGAGCCTTAAAGAAATGTAATTATGGGGCCTGAGTCACATAATTGGCAGCTATAACCCAGGCAGCTGTAATCTATCTTTCTCTGATTATAGATTAGCTTTCTTCCTTACTGTATTGTTTTATAAATGTTATAAATGACTAAAGGGATCCAGGGAAGACCTCTTCCCTCTTCACTGTTGATCTTCATGGTAGATTAACTTCTCTCTTATCTTTCTTACACAAAGACTTCATGGCTATCAAATTGTCTTAAAATGGAAATGTTAAATACACTCTTTTTAAATTGGAAAGGAATGAAACTAGCTTTAAAGAAAAGCCATAAAGAAAACAAACTGTAACTAAATTGTAACTCATAAACCAGCCTGGTATACAAAACATTACAATCCTACTAAACTTTATTTTAAACCTATATAAGCCATAACTGAACTTTTTTTTTAATTTTTTTGAGATGGAGTCTTGCTCTGTTGCCCAAGCTAGAGTGCAGTGGCACAATCTCAGCTCACTGCAACCTCCGCCTCCCGAGTTCAAGCGATTCTCCTGTCTCAGCCTCCCCAGTAGCTGGGATTACAGGTGCACGCCACCATGCCCAGCTAACTTTTGTATTTTTAGTAGACATGAGGTTTCGCCGTGTTGGCCAGGCTGGTCTTGAACTCCTGACCTCAGGTGATCGACCCACCTTGGCCTCCCAAAGTGCTGGGATTATAGGCGTGAGCCACCGCGCCTGGATGAACATTTTTTTGAGACAGAGTCTCACTCTGTTGCCCAGGCTGGAGTGCAGTGGCGCGATCTCAGTTCACCGAAACTTCCGCCTCCTGGGATTCTCCTACCTCAGCCTCCCGAGTAGCTGGGATGACAGGCATGTGCCACCATGCCCAGCTAATTTTTCTATTTGTGGTAGAGACAGGGTTTCACCATGTTGGCCAGGCTGGTTTTGAACTCCTGACCTCAGATGATCCACCTGCCTCGGCCTCCCAAAGTGCTGGGATTAGGCGTGAGTCAGTGTGCCTGGCCTGCAAGAACTGAACTTTTAACTTTGGAACACTGACCCCATTTTCTGAAGTCTGTTCTCCCTGACTGGCCAGCTTTCTGCTTGCATTAATTCCAGATTCTGATCCTTCTGATTACTTCAAGTTGACAATGTCAAGAGAAGCAATTTAGCAGAGTAGTCCCTGGTTTACCAGTGATTTTCCTTGGAAGGAGTCAGCCTCGTTTTTTCCAAACTACATTCTTTCTCTCCCCTAACCCTATCTCCCTAGAAAATCACTGTATATGATAGAAATAAAAGTTACACTCCAGTAATCTGACTACCTGCTAGACAAAAACTCAACAATCGTCTGACAAAATTTAAGAGTTCATAATCTCTACAACATGATAATCAGCAATGCTGCAACAAACAAATGACTGGCCAGATGTGTGAATAAGCAGGAAAATGTAACCTAGAATCAAGAGAAAAATCCATCAATATAAATAGACTTACAGATAATCTTGATATTGGAATTAGCAGATAATGACTTTTTAAAAACTGTGATAAACATAATAAATAATCTTTAGGAAGACATAGATATATCCTTCTCATTTAATCGAAAGTAGACAAACTTGTTAAAGGCTGAGCCAGGCGTGGTGGCTTGTGCCTGTAATCCCAGCTACTAGGAGGCTGAGGCGGGAGGAACACTTGAGCCCAGAAGCTTGAGACCAACTGAGCAGCACAGTGAGACCACCATCTCTAAAAAAATTTAGAAATAAAAAAACTGATGTCAGTTGTTAAAATACTAATATTTCTATAAAGGTTGGTAAATAGACCTTGCCCCAAGGTACCCAAGTGTTTGCTACAACTGAATCCCCTCCCTCAGAAAAATTTGGCCAACTGAAGGATTCATTATTGGCATAGTAGGGCGATGTCAGAACCCTGTTCGATAACTAATATAACGCATGTCTTTTCATGCTGTATTGGTTCTTAAATTTTTGGTTTCTTTGAGACACAGTCTCTGTTGCCCAGGCTGGAGTGCAGTAGCGCAATCTCAGCTCACTGCAACCTCTGCCTCCTGGGTTCAAGCAATTCTTGTGCCTCAGCCTCCCGAGGAGCTGGGAATACATGCCCATGCCACCACGCCAGACTAATTTTTATATTTTTAGTAGAGACAGGGTTTCACTATGTTGGCCAGGCTGGTCTCAAACTCCTGACCTCATGATCTGCCCTTCCTCATGATCTGACCTTGTGATCCGCCTTGGTCTTCCAAAGTGCTGGGATTACAGGCATGAGCCACTGTGCCCAGCCCAGTTCTGAAATATTTTTAATATCACAACTGTTAATGAGTACATTTAAAAATTTATGTAAATATACTCTAAGTTATGTCCTTAGAGAGTCTCTTCAATCATTGACTTCATGAATTTTATGAAAGCTATGTGGTATCCCAGGTGTGCGTGTGTGTTAAATTTACGTTTAAATTTAGGATCTTGGCTGGGCGTGGTGGCTCAACACCTGTAATCCCAGCACTTTGAGAGGCCAAGGAGGGGAGATCGCTTGAGCTTAGGAGTTTGAGACCAGCCTCAACAGCATGGTGAAACCTTATCTCTACAATAAAGTACAAAAAATTAGCGTGGTGTAGTGGTATGTGCCTGTAGTCTCAGCTACTTGATAGGCTGAGGTGAGATCACTGGAGCCCAGGAGGCTGAGGCTGCAGTGAGCTGTGATCATGCCGCTGTAATGAGCTGTGATTGTGCCACTGCACTTCAGCCTGGGTGACAAGGTGAGACCCTGTTGGAGGAGTGGGGAGAGAGGGAGGAGAGGGGAGGGGAGGGAAAACTCTTATTAAAATTATATTTTTACCTTTAAACATTCTCTATCCTCAATAACAAAAGTTAGATGCTTAACATTAATCATATTTTTTCTTCAATCAAAAATAAAAGATGAGATAGTACTCTTACTTCTATAAGCAACAGCATAACCAATATCCCTAGCCTTATCTGACTTACATTTGTGGTGATAGGAGGGAAAATAATTGGTTATAAAAATCTAAGTTTCATGTCTTCTCACTCAATCCAAATTCTATAGGAAATTTCAAATTTCAAATTTCCAGCAGTTATGTGTTTCAGGTGCTGATAACTTTGTTCTGAAATGCAATTATTCCACTGGAGTTTTGAGAGAAACCTTACAGATTTCCAACCACCTAAATTCATAGATTAAAACCCAGCACCTGACAGGTTAAACTTGGACAAGATGGCAGAAATTTTTTTTTTTTTTTGGCTCTCTTTCTATTCTAGTTTCATGCACCATACAAGGTTTCCCACCAGGTGGAGGTAGAAAACCAAGCCTGTACCATTCCACCCTTTTTGGTACCTACAGACACTCAGAATTCCTTATGTATCAAGTTACTTTCTTGAAAGTGATTCCCATGCTGAAATAAATAAAATGTGAAGTGATGAATAACCCTCTGACCAAGGCGATGAGTAACCTTGAACTCAATCTTTTGTAACACTGATTACATTTAAGCAAATAATAATTGTGTTCTTTTCTATGAGAATAAGATATGAAGGGATGGACCAAAAAAGGCAGGACAATACCCAGCCACTTGCATAGTTTTATTTAGTATGTTCCAATATCATTCTGTACAGTACTCTAACAAGAGAAATGGTAAAATAAACCTTTTCTTAGAACTGTGAATCAGAGGGATTTTTTAAAATTAGCATTACATTCATATAATTCAATACATTTACATAGTTCAATATTAAAAAAGAGTACACAATAGCTTTTCCCCCAAACCTGTCCCATAGCTACTCAGTTCTCATCCTGTTTCTTATGTATTCTTCCAGAAAAATACATGTTCTCTTTTAAACAAGATGGAGATCCCTCAACTCCCTTTTAAAAACAAACAGTAGCAACATATGCATTTTATTTTTTTCACCCAACAACATATTTAGAAAGCTTTTTTTCCATAAAGAATGTCCTCAATGTTTTTACAGCTGAGTATCATTTAAGTAAATTTTCTTACATCTACACAATGGAAAAGATATGCAGCTAAACTAAGTGACAACTAAAACATCAATAGTGGAACAACAATTAAAGAAATAAAGCCAAATTGTAGGTAAGATTCCTTATTTTTTTCTACCAATGGGTATAAAATAGATTTCTAGTATTCTGGTATTTCTGGCCACTTTGTCATAAAACCTTTATTCATATTTGGATGAAAAAGCATAACTTTCTTCCAAGTGTACACAAACTTCCCAGAAGCTTAAGACAACTTTGGAAACAAAGGCACTTTCTCTTTTCCTCAACTTGTGTGCTTTCATCAGTATTGTTTTGGGAAATATGGACTGTTATCGCTCAAACAATTCTAGACCTTATAAAATATAAATTTCAAAATAAGATTATAGTTGGTATATTCAATTTATGAGCGTTATTATAATAAGTATAATGTGCCATCTGCAAAACTTCCAATGTCTTATAAGGGTTAATCAAGCATTTCCAGAACTAAGAAGTTATCTTGAATTAAAAGAAATTAAACTAACTTTCCTGTTGGTCACGGGATTTACCAACTACATTGTCTACTGTCATCATACAATGTCAAATTTAACCAAAGTACTGTACCTCATGATGGGTGCTTGTAAATCCAGTATTTTCCTCATCTCTAAATTTAATGCTGGAGCACACTGTTCTTCCTTAAAATGGGGTGTCCCCTTCATTTGTGGACTTCCTCTAAAAGAAACATCATAGAGTTAAAGAAAGATATTGAATTTGCCTCCACTCTGTGGCTAATATACATCCAGTCAAATAAAGTAAATGAAATCAAACTAAATCAGGTATTCATCCTTCAGATTCTCAAATGAAAAACAGACTTAAATTCTATTATAGTAGACATATTTACTTATCAATTGGAAATAAATGTTTGACCAATGTAATCTGTGTTAGGAAGGTGGGAAAGAGAAGAGCAGAGAATCTGAGAAAAAAAACACATTTGAAATCAAAGTGAACTAACGCTAAAAGAGAACCAACAGGCATTTTGTTTAAAATTACTGAGGGCCCTTTCTAAGGTGGGCAACTATGGGGAAAAAAAATATATCATTCTATATAGTACCTGTCCCAGTGGTCCAAATCGTGTAGCTTCATCTTTACTTACTCCACACCTTATCCTTGATTCCTATTCTTTGGGTATGTATCAGAATTAAGGTTAAATTCAAGGGTGCAATTCGGAGATGTTTTGCAAGTTACTTAGTAATAAATAACAAAATACCTAAAATTTTAAATCCCTGGCATTAAACAGCTGCAGCAGAGTGCTGGGTCAATGCCAACTTAACTGAACTGTCACACACAACCCTTCAAAGGACTACAGGCTGTTTTGTATTCTTTATCTTCATATGGCATAGTAGACCAGTATCTTCTTCAGTGCCTGTGTTGGAATTTAACAGTTATCTGTCTCTCACCATCAGCTATCACTTGTGGCAACAATTAGCCTGCTGATATAATCTCTCCCTTTCCAGTCAAGTACAGTCCTGTAAATTAATTTGTCAATACTATTAAAATATGCACAAAGAGGCAAACAAGTCCAATAGCTTTCAAAGTTCCCAGCTTTGTGAAATATATTTTGATGCTCATTTTTTAGTTTTCCTTCTTGCTTATTTTTTAGTTACAGACTATTTTTATTATAAAAGTTTTGTGATTTATTACCATTCTATCCTGCTACTGCTATGATCTGGAGTACTTAATTCCTTCTAAGTCTAAACGACTAAACTAGCTAAGGTTTAACCATACAGGTTCATGTTCAACTAACGTGTCTGACTGATGTGACAGCCTGTAAAAAGGACATGAAAGTAATTAGTTTATAGGAGTCACATTTAAATTGCTGAACACACAGCCTATGATGATTTACTGAGATGTCTTCCATGTATTAATATATCTGGTTTTAAAGTTAAATTTTATTTTCCAAAGTAATATATACACAGACGTTAAAATTCAAATAGGGCTAGAAAGCTTAAGACAAAAAACAACACAGAAGTGGACTCCTTTTAGTGGAAACTTAAGACATGTGTCCTGATTTGAACAGACCAACTCCTAAAATAACAGCTCTGAGTTAAAATAGGAAAACTGAACACAGACTAGCTATTTGATGACATTAATAAACTATTGTTAATACTGTTGGGTGTAATAATATTGTGGTTTGGTTTCCTTAAAATGTCTACCTGTAGCCTGTAATCCCAGCACTTTGGGAGGCCGAGACGGGGGGATCACGAGGTCAGGAGATCGAGACCATCCTGGCTAACACGGTGAAACCCCGTCTCTACTAAAAAATACAAAAAACTAGCCGGGCGACATGGCGGGCGCCTGTAGTCCCAGCTACTCGGGAGGCTGAGGCAGAAGAATGGCGTAAACCCAGCAGGCGGAGCTTGCAGTGAGCTGAGATCCGGCCACTGCACTCCAGCCTGGGTGGCAGAGTGAGATTCCGTCTCAAAAAAAAAAAAAAAAAAAAGTCTACCTGTTACCGATAAAACAGAAGCATTTAGAGTTGAATGATAATGATATAGTACAAGGAAGTTGCCTTAATATTTAAAAAGTATGCATGCATGGGGATAGGGGGATGTTGACAACTTTTGAATCTGGGAGTTAAGTACATTGGGTAAGTGTCCTTTTAGATTCTCAAGTATGGCTGTGGAATTCGATGATATTCCTATTCACAGACTAGCTCATTTTCCTCTGAAGTACCTAGCATCTTCTTTTTATATCCAATGGTTTCTGAAATTTCAGAATAATTAATTTTTCTACAAGTATGTGAATATTTATCATTGCATTGAGCACTTGCTAGACCTCTTCAATCTACTGATATATTTAGTTTAAACTCTTGGAAATTTGCATGTTTTGTTTCCATAATATAATAATAAGCTTCGCCATTCCCTGTTCTTTCTACAACTCCTAGTCAGTTAGATATTAAACCTCATATTAAACTCTAATTTTCTCTTTTCTCTCTTATTTTTGTCTTTTATTCTATACCCAGGGAAAGTTCCTCAACTGCTTCTTTCAATGCTTTTACTGAATATACTTCTACTATTGTACTTTTCATTCTGAGAATTTTCTCATCCACTCCCCTTGTTTTCTTAAACCATCCTGCTTTATTAGCCAAAATTTGTCTAAGGTTGTTAATTATTTCCTCGAGGTGTTTTCATTCCCTCAATTATCTGTTTACTTTAAGTTCCTTTTTTCTGGTATGTGTTTCTAAGTTACATTGGAAACTTTCCTAAGATGGCTAACAACATTTAGTCCTTTGTTCTTATTTTAGAGGTTAACAATAAAAAGGTGACTATGTGTCCGCAGGCTGTCAATTCATGGACTTCAGCAGGGTAGTGGCCAGCCAGCTTTTTTGTTGGGGTCTTCAAATACTAGTACCCGTCGAGCAATTTTTCTTCAGTGGTTCCATTTCTCCAGGAAGGATCCCTCAAACCTGCCTGCGATATTAAAGTGTGAAAGACAGAAGTCTGGAGCCAAGCAGGGTAAGGAGGCACTATGACAACTTTAGCATCTCACTCTTGTCCTACTGTTAAATACATATTGTTAAACCAGACAGTATATTTCCTGTGAGGCGGGAACACAGGAATCCTTATTCAGAGTTTTCAAGCAATCTCTATGTTGATGGCTCCTGCCTCACTTCTATATTCTGTAGTACTAGTCCATCTAATCCCTGAGCCTTTCTGAGTTTGCAGGTAAAACAAGGTGCTTTTTGTCAGTATCCTGTAGGTTCTTAAGCACTCAAGTTTGATGGTCTTCCTTAGTTATTTACTCTTTTCCTTCGGATTTTTAGCTCAAGGGTTGGAGATACTTCTAGTTTTGATTAAAGATGGAAATATTATTTCAACTTTTTTTCTGTTGGTGATTATCAAGAGAAAGAATGGAAACCACATTACCTATCTTAAAACTGGAAACCATGTTTTTCTTTATATGGATACCTCATTTATTACAAGTATTATAAGAACTTTAAAGTAAATTTAAGTAAATCCTAATTTCTTCATGACTTCCATTATAAAATTAGAGCTACATCTGGCAGGAAAGTTTCCATCCTGTCTTCCAAACATACTAAAATAGAGCAAACTTTAAAAAATTATAGCAACAAAAAAATTCTGACTTTCTGATAAAAATATTTTAGAGTTCAACTATAATTTGATAAGGTACAGCATCAGATGATTAGAAGAGAGTCACAGAAGATGAGGCTAGAAGAAGAAGATGAAGCCAGATTATGAGAGCACTGAATGCCAGGAGAACAGGAATAGAGTATTTACTATGTATGAAACAGTGTACAAAACATCCTATACACATTATCTCAACTGATCATTTGTAATCTTTTGAGACAGGAATTATCTCCACTTTTCCAGAGAGAAAACTGAAACTTAACAAATATTGAGAACTGTGCTCTTGGTCACAAAGCTAAGAAAGTAAGGGAGCTGATAATCAAGCTCTAATATTTAAGGCTCTAAGCAACTGAAAATTATAGAGTTAAAGAGACTAACAAAATAACCTCTGTCTGCACATAGAAATAATGGAACAAATGCTAAATAATGGACTGGGGGTAGGGTAGGGAAGGGAACACACACTGTAAATGTTAATGTTTTTCATATCTGGACAGACAGCAGAACTGCAGTTTCTTGCCTTCTTAAAATTAGGTGTGGCCACATGATTTACTTTGGCCTACAAAATATGAGGGGAAGTCATTTGTGTCACTTCTCAACAGAAAATTTAAGAGCCAACACTTGGTACATGTTCTGTTTTTAATCCTCTACTGCGGAGATCTAACCTATACTGACTAATATAGTAACTGACAATTGTTAGATTTTTGTCCTGTAAAACTCAACTAATTAACAGTTTATGACTATTCTACATGAGTGATTTCAATAACTATGCAATCTGAGAAATAGGAAAAAAGAATGAAAAAAAATAGACATAGTTTAAAGACTTATGGGAACAACATCATAAATAACAATGCCTGTTTGTATGATGGAAGTCCAAAGGCAAGGAGAGAGAAAACAGAATATATGAAGAAATAATGGTTACAAACTTTCCAAATTTGAGAAAAACAAGAGTCTTTCATCCAAGAAACTCCAAGTAGGATAAATTTTAAAAGTTGCACACAGAGACACATTATGTTCAAACTGTCAAAAAACAAAGAGAATCTTGAAAGTAGCAAGAGATGTATGTGACTCTTCACATACAAGAGATCCCAAGTAAGACTGACAGCCAACTTTTCATAGGAAACCATGGAGGTCAGAAAACAGTGGGATGGCACATTTCAAGTGCTGAAATATCTAGAAAAATTATTCTTCAAAAACAAAAAAGAAATTACCGAATTTCCAGATAAACAAAAAGTTGAGGGAATTTGTCACAAGTAGACCTGAACTACAAGAAATGCTAAAGGAAGTTCTTCAGCCTGAAGAGAAAAGAGGCAATAACTCAGAGCCATGTGAGAAAATAAAGAACACTGATAAAAGTAATTACATAGGTAAATATAAAAGCCAGCAGTATTATAGTTTCAGAAATCTGCCTTTTTCTCCCTATATGACTCAAAAGACAAGTGCATAAAACAGCAATTATACATCCATGTTAACAGTCATACAATGTATAAAGATGTAATTTGTGATAACAACAACATAAGGGAGGGAGGGAGATGTACAGGAACATAGTTTTGAGATATTATTGAAGCTAAGTTGGTATTACTTCAAACTAGGCTGTTGTACATGCAAGATGTTAATTTAATCCCCAGGGTAACCATTAATAACTAAAACATGTACAAAAAAGGAAATAAGAAAGGAGTCAAAATGGTACAATGCAAAAAAATCAAACCAAGAACAACAAAAAGGCAGTAGTGGAGGAACCCAGGAACAAAAAAGATACAGACATAATAGAAAACAAATAGCAAAATGGCAGAAATCCTTCTTTATCAGTAAGTACTTTAAATGTAAATGGATTAAATGCATTCATTAAAAGGCAAGCATTGTCAGAGTGGATTCAAAGAAACCAAATGAGTCCATTTATAAGTTGTCTACAAGAGAATTTCTTTAGATTCAAGGAAACAAGCTGAAGGTGGAAGGAAGGAAAAAATATATTCCATGCAAATAGTAACCAAGACAGGGTGGCTATGGTAAAATCAGAAACAAACAAATATACAAACAAAAAACCAAAAGACTTTAAGAACTATCACAAGAGACAAAGAATGACTTTTATAATGATAAAACAGTCAATCTAGCAAGAAGATACCACACCTATAAATAGATACAAATATAACATCAGAGCCACAAAATATTAATATATGAAGAAAGAACACAAAACTGAAGGGAAAAATAGATCTGTAATAATGTTAGAGACTTCAATACTCCACTTTCAATAATGGATAGAACTAGGCAGAAAATAAGGAAATAGAGAATTTAAGTAACGCTATATAAACCACTTAGACCTAAGACACATACTGAATATGCTACCCAACAGCAAAATACATATTATTCTCAAATGCACATGGAACATTCTCCAAGACAGAATGGATATTAAACCACAAAAAAGTCTTAATATATTTTAAAAGACTGAAAGCATATAAAGTATCTTCTCTAACCAAATGGAATATAACTAAAAATCAGTAAAACTAGAAAAATCACAAATATGTGGATACCAATAACCAATGTTGTGGTACGAATTATACAGAGCAAAAGTTAAGTTAAACTATACAAGGTAAGGAAGATGGATACAAAAAATACCCTGAATTTTCAAGAGAAAATGTAACTGAACTTTTTTTTTTAAAAATAGAGTCTTGCTCTGTAACCCAGGCTGGAGTGCAGTGGCGCAATTTCGGTGCACTGAAATGTCCACCTCCTGGTTCAAGCAGTTTGCTTCAGCCTCCTGAGGAGCTGGGATTACCACACTGGCTAATTTTTGTATTTTCAGTAGAGACGGGGTTCTGCCATGTTGGCCAGGCTGGTCTTGAACTCCCGACCTCAAGTGATGCACCCGCCTTGGGCCTCCCAAAGTGCTGAGATTACAGGCATGAGCCACCTCACCCAGCCCAAACATTTATTTCTAAGCTACACTTTGCATTTAAATCAATATACTCCAAAGGATTAAATACAGATGCCCATAAAAAGGATAAATATCTCCATCAGGAATGCTATGTACACATCCACTCATGAAAAGAATAAAAACATTCAGAACTTTTCTATAGGTCTCAAACAGAAGAGCCAACTATACCATATGTTATACCACAGATGGGGTACAACAAGTTATTGTTTACT